ATAAGTTAGACTGGTCTAAGAATATAGACTTCATCTACAGAAAGGGGTAGACCCGCCTCTTTTGCCTGAGAAGACTCAGTTCAATAGACATCTGCAGTAAGATGCTGCAGATGTTTTATCCGTCTGTGGTGTCAGCAGTGTTTTCTTCTATGCTGCAGTCTGCTGGGGAGGCAGTATAAAGGACAAGGATGCAAGACAACTGGATAAACTGCTAACAAAAGCTGATGAAATATAAAGAAGGCATTTTGGGTAAGGGCCTTGTATAGGGTCACCTCTGCGTATAGGTGATAAATCCTGCCTCCTCTAGCACACTAAATAGAGTTGTGGACAAACTTTAGAAATTAATTACACAGAATATAAAAATTTCTCCCCCTTGCTTGTGATGTTGACATGTAGTTATTGTAAGACTGGTTGCTGCTCAAGTCCTCTTTTTTTCTGTGCAGGTCCATTTTTAAAAGTTATTAGGGGTTTCATGTTTTCTTTGATTGATACTTGTTACAGCCTACAGGCATACAAGATTGTGTGGATCATCCAGGAATATGCTGTTTGAGCAGAGCGTATAACATGCATATAACACTGCTGCACAAGTGGTGGTTTCAAGAAGTGAAGAAAATCACAGAGATACCAGAAACATTTTAGCTTCAAATTCATAAAATGATGGAAGGTGGAGTCAAGTTGTCCATGGTATGTGGTATACAGTCTATGATAGCTAGGGCTGCACCTAACGATTATTTTTCTGATTTGACAGCTAATCTATCGATTATTCTAACAATTATTCATTGATACTTGATCAATATATAAATTAATTTAACCAAAATAAAATTGAAAACTTGTCCCATTACTATTCAATTCAATGATTTATTCAGTAATCTCTTAAAAGCAAACAAAATTAACAAGAGTAGTGCAACAGTGTAACGAAGAGCCTTCAATACAAGTGATGGACCGCTCTTGCCATGTAAATATTGCACAGAGGGGATGCACTTTAAACAGAAATTATACACAAAAACAAATTATTAATGGCACTAAGCAATTTTATAGCACTTTGCACTTTATTAGCAAACTTTGCACATTACATTTGTACATTGTGTTACAGGTACCGGGCTGGTACCAAGTAATCAGATGATAGATTCTGCAAAGGAGAAATAAATGAAACACACAACTTCACCTCTTTCCGTCTGAGCCTCACTTCACAGAATTTATTCTGTCATCATAAAACCATTAACATTTTCTTTTTCATCCAAAATGATAATCAAAATACAATCATAAACAAAACAATATGTATTGTTTGCTTTAGATCATGCAACCTTAAATAAAATTAATATTTACTGTTAGAATCATGAGTTTCTGTCCCTCGTCTGTTACTGCTGGACAGTACTCATAGTTGAAACACATAAAGCTTAAGGCATCAACAATATATTTTTAAGCATGAACTGTCTTTAACATTTTTAAGTGCTTTTAACATTTTAAGCAAACACGTTTTTAACTATTCTTCTTAATGTTCTCTTAAACCATATGAAATATAAAATGTATTTTTACATATTCAAATTTACAATACAATCTAACTAAAATGTACTGGAGCTGAAAGAAAAACCACATCATTGTGACATGAAGAAAGTTTACTGCAGTGCCATTTTCCCACCGACACAGTACATCATAGACACGAAAATACAATTTGACACACCAAAGCAGGACCTTTTTAAATCTAAAACGCTCTCTAAGACTCTGGCATGTTAACAAACACATAACCATTAAACAGCTGTTTAGTTTTTTACACTTTACATACCTGCAAAGGAGAAATAAATGAAACACACAACTTCATGTCTTTCCGTCTGAGCCTCGCTTCACAGAACACACTGCCACCCACTGGCGAATGACAGACATTAACTGTCTAATTAAATTACAGAAAAATAAAGGATGTTCTCATCACCAAATAATGTCAGTTGACAATAATATGTAAAAATTAAATAACAATCACAATTGTGACATTACAATGGTGGTCGTTACAATTGCATATTTGCACAGGTTGTAATGAATGTTGTTGATTGAGTAATTATGAGCTGAATTTGTGAAAGTAACCCATAATTGATGTGTGGTTATTCAACAGGAGCTGGCTCCGGAGCATAGCTCAGCCTGTAAGAGAGGAGAGTGAGAGAGCTCAGTGATACAGTCTAATAACATTAATAACTGAAAAACAAAGTGTTCTAGAAAATGTGTGCAGGGAATGTAGGTGTGCATGACGGTATGGACAGTGTGTGCCAGGACTAAAGTTGCGAAAATGTTAGAGCAAAGTGGTGTGATCATAGATATACATATATAGACGCTAGATGGATTATGCACGCTGTTAGCATGTGTGAGATGCCATATGTGAAAGCTATAGGCTGCTGCATGTGCGAGATGCCATATGTAGAGCTATAGACTGCTGCATGTGTGAGATGCCATATGTAGAGCTATAGGCTGCTGCATGTGCGAGATGCCATATGTAGAGCTATAGACTGCTGCATGTGTGAGATGCCATATGTAGAGCTACAGGCTGCTGCATGTGTGAGATGCCATATGTGAAAGCTATAGGCTGTTACATGTGTGAGATGCCATATGTAGAGCTATAGGCTGTTGCATGTGTGAGATGCCATATGTGAAGCTATAGGCTGTTACATGTGTGAGAAGCTATAGGCTGGGTGCAGAAGCACTTTGTCTCCTTTAAAGGGTGAGACCGCCTCACGCTGCTATAAGTGTGAGATTGTTATAAGTGAAGCTATAGGCTGGGTGCAGAAGCACTTCGTCTCCTTTAAAGGGTGTGACCGCCTCACACTGATACGTGTGTGAGATTGCCATATGTGAAGCTATAGGCTGTTACATGTGTGAGAAGCTATAGACTGGGTGCAGAAGCACTTTGTCTCCTTCAGAGTGTGAGATTACCTCACGCTGCTATAAGTGTGAGACGGACATATGTGAAGCTAGACTGGGTGCGGAGCAGTGGCGATTGCTCTAAGACTGCAAGGGAAGCTCGGCTCCCCTTAAAATGTCAGCCCCCCCAAAAAAAGAAAAAGTGGTGAAATACGTACGGCTGTGTGTACATTTCATTAACTAAATACGCACTAGAAAGCCTTCAACTTTTGTTCAGACACTGTGATAAGAAGCTGATAATCACAGGTAACCGGCATAACTTCGTTCTCATTCATCCTCGCGGCGCCTCAGCGCTTCAAACAGCCGGACGCTGGGCTTCTGCTGACTTCAATGTGGAAGCTTAAAGTGGGTTGTTCCAGCAGCGAAACTAGACGCTCATTGGATAAATGCTGGGCTTTGTCCCGCCCAATGGAAGCTAAGCTTCACTGGAGTTCTATGGCGAGAGGGCGGTCCCGACTTTCTCCCGGACTCCAAGCTTCTGCATTCATGATTGGATGAGCTGTCTAAGGCGAAATCCTTTTTTGATTGACAGCTAAACAAGCGAATCAGCGATCTTGAAGAATAAAACATCTACCAGAGCATTTTCCAAGTCATTCATTCCGTTGTTCTTAACTGCTCCAGAGACTTTACCGATCCTCAGCGACTTTTGTCTTTGTTAAAAACGACTGCCGTTGTGTTTGGCGACTCTGTTCTGTTACATACTAATAAACAAATACAATTATGATGTAGGCCAGAAAAATGAGCTTCCCCTCCTTGAAAGACCAGCAGCCGCCACTGGTGCGGAGAAGCACTGGCCAGTAGTTCAGGGAGACAGCCTGGTCCGGGTTGTGATGTGTTTTTTAGGCTGAATGCCTGGTGATAAAAGGTTCTGGGTAATTGTTGGGATAACAAGGGGAGCGGCAGACACGAGTGTGTCTGTCCATTGTTGAACTGTGAGCTTGATGAGCAGGAGATAGAAAAAGAGGTCAATAAGGATAGGCTGAAAAGCCTATTCAGGGATCCCAATTGAACAAGCACGTCCCATATCTCCTGACCGATTGTAGAAGAATCACACAAATTGAAAATATCACACAATTGGAAAAATTGAAGAAATCAAAACAAGAATTAAAATAAGACTGCTGACTGACTCCAGTGACTGACTTTGACTTCAAACACATGTGAAAGGGTATACCATTGTGTGATGAAAAAGTGAAGTGTGTGGGTTGATTGGATGTTTGTGTGTGTCTGTTTTGCTCTGTGTCAACTAAGTTCTCTGGCAGTGTTCACAGCCAGACTCTGCATCTGTGTGTGTGTTATGTTAGTCAAAGATTGCTGTGTTTTCCTCACTTGTGGTTATTTCATAGTTGTCTATGTGAACACTGTGCTCATTGCGGACATGTTATCAGTTGAGACATAGAAGGTTAAATACTCCTGGGAAAGAGGTTCTGTTCCTAGTACCATGATGAACACTCCTGATATGAAGGTTTTAGCTTATGCTTCAATATTATGATGATTTTTGGTTGTGAACACGTCTTATGCTCCTTAACAATTTTTCTGTGTTAAAACTGCTGAAATAATGTTTGTGAAAGTATAAAAGATACAAAAAGGGGAAAAAGAAATGAGGTTCCACAAGTGCAAAACTTCTAAAACTTCAAATCTAAGGGTTGCTTCTATACATCTGCTGTTTCTGCCAAAAAACTGTTTTTTAAATATTAGCGCTTAGATTTGTGTCATTTTTACACTTTTGATTCTTTTTTTTTTAATCATGCTCTGATCTTTTGAACTAATAAATAAGAATAGAATAAAAAACTAATTTTTCTCTATCTTAGGTTGCCTTAAAACTTATTATTTTTTTTATTTACTTATGTCTTTTGAATTTCCAAATGATTCATAATCACTGCTATTTTTGTCCCATATGTTTTGAAAAGGAAATTGACAGTTTTCGTGAAATGTTGGCCATGGAAAACCACACACCTTGTTGGGCTGATTGCCAGACTACCACAAACTGAACAGGGGGCAGGGAGATGGATATCGGTTTTTGAGGATGAACTGTAAAGAAAATGTTGACTACACCAGACATGAAAGCACTCTTGGCTAAACTTCTGGGAACTAAGACGATGGAGGAGTTTCTGCACAAGGCAAAAAAAGGTTGGATGACGAATCCCATGACTGATGGGAGTGAGTTCAATGCATATTGTGATGTGATGTGGAGGGTGCTGCCAGATGAAGAGCGGAGACCGAAAGAACAGGAAAAGAACATTCAGCGGAAGTTGAAACAGCCACCTCTAAGGGGGACACTGCAAAAGAGACCCAGCGATGCAGACCGTGCAGACGCTAATTGCGGTAAAACCTGTGACAGTAACCTGTTTAATCACCTGTTGTGAATGTTTATCCTCAGACAGAACCCTGCTCCATAGAGAGGATATATCCCGGCAGGGGGAGAGAGTGGAATTCTGACGGACGTGTGACGTCTAAAGACCTGCTGGGGATGTGATCATACCAGACATTTTTGACAACTGCCCAGACCAGGGATGCCTCTGGCTGGAGCTGTGGTGGGGGGCCCCAGCCCAGACAATGTAAAAGTGGTGGCTTACTACAGTGTGATTTTTGTGGATGATGGAAAAAAGTTAATTGTTAGTTTTAATTTTAACCCTGTTAACCTTATAGACCAAAAAGCCCAATGTAGAAGTTACATTCAAATTTGGTGCTCACCGCAAGGTGTGCACGGAGACAGTTATGGTTTATAGTTTTAAGTAAATATTGTGACATTAACATTGTAACATTTCTATTCTGTTAGTTTTATAATGATAAATCTAAATACAGCTGTGCTGAATCCGCATACACTCCTCACAGATGTGCCACTTAGTGTAAAAGTAATGGGAAGCTATCAGGGGTCAATAAGGGGTCAATAGTATTAACAAACGAACTCAGGATCTGACTTTCACAGTGATTCACACTGTGCAAGGGGGCAGATGATGAGACAATTAAAACGACATTTTTAGAATATGCTGACAATAGTTGATAAACTTTTGGGTCATTGTGATATGTGTTTTTTAGATGAATTGAAGAGAATAATAAAACAGTAGCAGGACACTTTTCCAGTTCCAGAGAGACGCCTTTAGAAATCTATTCATAGACAATGTGGACATGATTAAAACTGCCAAGGGATATGTTACATGTTTGTAATGATGACGGGTTCAGTCGATGGATGGAAGCAACACCATCAAAAGATCTTGGAGTCAAAATAAATCTTTCACTGCATGAATTGGTACATCATTTTGGGGAAGAAAGTTAATCTCTCAAGTAAATATCAGATCAGAGAATTTGCACTAACACTAACCTATAGGAAGATGCTTTGCTACTTGCGCTTATGAGCTTTCACAATCAAAAGCACTGTGATAAATCTTTCACTGCATGAATTTCTAACCTACAGAGCTATGCTTTACTGCGGCTAAACAATTAAGCTTTTCGCTTGAGCAGCTGAAAATTAGTGAATTAAATATATGAGGCAGCTAACTACGATGCAAAGATCTATCAATTAGCAGGAGGAGTGCCAAAATCTGATCCCAGTCAAGAGGTGGAGGCCAGTCGAGCCAGAGCACCAGGTGTACATCAACGTCCTTTGAGGAGGGTGGCACAATGAACGAGGAGAAGACCTGAACACTGTGGTCCTGGTGAACTCTACTTCAGTGCAAGAAGAGGGCAAAATGATGTGGCGTCATCTACCGCTGACTGCCCAGGAAAAACAAGGGAAGTATGACTTGATAAGAGACACTCCAAGAATGACTGTAGCACTCGTCCTGAAAGTAACTGTTTTCCTGGTGTTGCTGCTAAGGGATAATGTGTGGAGAGAGACCGAGAGAGAGACTGATGACAACAATGAGGGTGAAGGTCAAACTGGTGCCAGTACAGCTGTGAGAAGAAGAAGTGGGATACATTGTTATCGCGGGTGAGTACGATGCAACCCAAAACACAATCCACACCACTCCAGACAGAGCTAGAACCCATGCCAACATTCACAGATTATTACAAATAAGAGAAGAACTGTTTTTTTAATGTTTTTTTTATATATATATATATATATATATTTTTTTTTTGTATATATACATATATATATATTGATGCAGCTAAATATATACAGTGGATATACAGTATATATATAAATATACATATATGTGTGTGTGTGTGTGTAGCTTAGCGGGTAGAGCATCTGGTTACCATCCTGGAGGTTGGGGTTTGAATCTTGCATGTGACACATCTGTAAGGAGCAAATAACATTTATTAATGTGAGTCTTTAGGTAAGACCCTTAGCGCTATGGCCTACCTCATAAACAGGAGTGCAATACCATTGAAAGCCAAACCGGCTCTGACCTCGCTGGGGTTAACAATGTCTGCATCACAGCTGAGGAACCAGGGCATTGTGATGACAAGTGGACTACTGGAACAACAAAGAGAAGGCAATGAACATGGGATGAAAACAAGACTATGTTGGAATGCTACTTCTCCATTAACCCCAACTAGCGGGGTTACATGAACAGGCTGGAGCATATATGGTTGCTTTGATATCCAAAGTCAACACTGGAACAGGTAGTAGCTTAGTGTTCCAACATCCACAAATGGCAACTGCTATCATGACTGGAGATTGAGGAGATACAACACACAAATGCTACGGCAAGGGGGAGCCAGGATGCCAGGTCAGATGGGGGGGTTAACATTGACTCCCCTCCAGAGGTACCTCCAGAGGTCCTGGCCAATGTGAATGCCGTGATACAGATACAGATGATTCCCTCTACAAACATCACTGAGACCAGTGGGCTGATATACAGTACAGCAGCAGTGATCCTCGAGATGCTTAGACATAAAGTGAATACCAAGGAGAACAAAGGGCAGTGCCCACCATGGAGGAGAAGGTTGGAGGTTAAGATTAAGGTGACATGGAGAGAAGTCAGCCAATTGTTAGAACTCTTGGAAACTGCTAAACAAAGACTCCAAGCCTTGGCCACCCGACTGAAGAGGTACACAAGAGAGACAAAGGCCAAGCGAATAAACCGGCTGTTCTCCACTGAACCAGCGAAAGTGTACTCCCAGTGGCAGGGTAATAACACCCGAGCAAACCCACCAAAGCTGGAGACTCAACAATACCGGAAAGGCATATGGGAGAAAGAAGCATCACATAACCATCTAACAACATCAATCTCGCTGAACAACATGCTGTGACCATTACAGTAGCAGACATCCAAGAAAAAGTCTCAGGTATGAAGAACTGGACAGCACCAGGCCTGGATATGATTCACACCTGCTGGCTAAAGAGGCTGACCTCACTCCATGACCGCTTGGCAGCACAAGTGAACCACAAATGAAATGCCCCATCCAACTATCGGCCGATCACCTGCCTCTCCACAACATGGAAACTCCTGTCAGGCATCATTGCAGCTAAGATAAGTGGGCACATGGATTATTACTTGACTCCTAATACATGACAGAGGCACAGAAGGGCATTGGTAAGAACACCAGAGGTGCAAAACACCAGTTACTGGTAGACAGGACAGTTACTCGAGACTGTAGAGCCAGACAGCCCAATCCGTGCACTGCCTGGATTGATTACAAGAAAGCCTATGACTCGATGCCACACACCTGGATCCTCGAATGCCTGAAGTTGTACAAGGTCAACAAGACTCTAAGGGCCTTCACTGCAAACTCAACAAGGCAATGGAACACCACCCTTGAGGCCAACTTCAAGCCAATAGTACAAGTCTCCATCAAATGTAGTATATATCAAGGAGATGATCTGTCCCTGCTGCTGTTCTGCATAGGCTTGAATCCCCTTAGCCAAATAATCAACAAGACTGGCTACTGATACCAACTCCGAAATGGGGTCACCATCAGCCCCCTCCTGCACATGGATGAAAACAAGCTGTACACTAAGAGCGCATGAGACATCGACTCACTGATCCACACCACCAGGATCTACAGCAGTAACCTCGGAATGTTGTTCGGACTGGAGTAGTGTGGCCAAATGGTGACGAAAAGAGGAAAGGTAATCCATACAGAGGGCACTACGCTTCCAGAGGGCAGAATAGTGGATGTGGAGGAGAGCTACAAGTACCTTGGCATACCACAGGCAAATGGCAACCACAAAGAGGACACAAGGAATGCAGCAACGGCAAAGTACCTGAAGCAAGTAAGGGAGGTCCTGAAGAGTCATCTCAATGGTAGAAACAAAGTTTGGGCAATTAACAGCTGTGCCCTGTCAGTGATCAGATACCCAGCTGGAATAATAAGCTGGCCAAAGGAGGAAATTCAGGCCACAGATGTCAAAAATTTGAGGTTGCTCACCATGCACGGGGTCCAGTATCCCCTAAGTCTAGTATCCAGAGGCTGTACACTAAGCGCAAAGAAGGAGGTAGAGGATTAGTGAGCATCAGAACCACTATCCAAGATATGAAACATCCAAGCTCCATGACTATGTCAGGAAGATGGCCCACAGAGACGGAGTGCTTAGTGAGTGTCTCAGACAATGGAAACTGACAGGTAAGGAGGAACCAGAGGAACCATCATGGGAGGAAAAACCCTTGCATGGGATGTACCACTGGCAGATAGCTGAAGTGGCTGATCCTACCAATGCTGGAGAGGGCTGGACTGAAGGACAGCACAGAGGCACTCATCATGATGGCACAACAATAGGCCTTAAGCATCAGAGCAATAGAGGCCCAGATCTACCACACCAGGCAAGATCCCAAGGGCAGGCTGTGCAAAGAGGGCCCTGAAACAGTCCAACACCTAACAGCAGGATGTAAGATGCTGGCAGGAAAAGCATACATGGAACGCCATAACCAAGTAGCCGGTATATTGTACAGGAACATCTGTGCAGAATATGGACTGGAAACCCCAATGTCAAAATGGGAAGCGCCTCCCAAGGTGATGGAGAATGACCGAGCCAAGATCTTGTGGGACTTCCAGATACAGACTGACAAAATGCTAATGGCCAACCAACCGGACATTGTAATCATAGACAAACAGCAGAATAAAACCGTTGTGGTAGGTGTCGCCATCCCAAGCAATACCAACATCAGAAAGAAGGAACACAAGAAACTAGAGAAGTACCAAGGGCTCAATGAGGAGATAGAGAAAGCCTGGAAGGTGAAGGCAACAGTGGTGTCTGCGGTCATTGGGGCACTTGGGGCAGTAACCCCCACACTGGAGAAGTGGCTCAAACAGATCCACATCTGGCATCTCACTCCAGAAGGGTGCAGTCTTAGGAACAGCAAGGATACTGCACAGGACTCTCAAGCTCCCAGGCCTCTGGTAGAGGATCCAAGCTTGAAGAGACACAATACCACCCGGGGTGGGTGAGAGAATGTTTTTTTTATTATTATTATCATATTACATATAAAATCAAGGTCAAAGGAGGAGCTACCACCACCAGGCACAGGAGGAGCTACCACCAGCCAAGCCCAAGAGGCCAGCTGGCAGCAGCAGCTACCTACCAGGCCTTGTCAGGAGGAGCTACTATCACCAGGCAGCAGCAGCTAGCCAACAGGCTAGCCCCAGGAGGAGCCAACACTGCCAGGCAGCAGCAGCAGCTAGCTTCCAGGCCAGCCCAAGGAGGAGCTACCACCACCAGGCAACAGCAGCTAGCCAACAGACCAGCCCCAGGAGGAGCCAACACTGCCAGGCAGCAGCAGCTAGCTTCCAGGCCAGCCCAAGGAGGCGCTACCACCACCAGGCAGCAGCAGCTAGCCAACAGGCCTAGCCAAGAGGAGCTACTACCACCCGGCAGCAGCAGCTAGCCAACAGGCCAGCCTGTATCCAATAGCTGCCACCAGGCAGTTGGCAGGAGCATTGTCTTTTACCTTGCCACTCCAAGGCCTCATGCCGCAGAAAAAAGCACTGTTGGCTGAGGAAGCTGACAAGATAAAAAAAAGTCTCTGGACCTTTTATCTAAAGAAGTTTTTGCTGCGAGGTTGCAGCAGGAAAGCATCATGAATCTTGTGCAGGAGGTGAAGGCTCTGCATACCGAAAATGCTGAGAAGGACAAACAAATTGCTCACCTGGAAAGGAGAGTAATGGATCTTGAGCAATCTTCGAGGATGAATGACGTGATCATCACCGGGCTCCACATTAAACCTGGATCATATGCTCACGCAGTATCCATGGAAAACGGAGAACCCATTGACCTGGATGTCAATGGCCATTGACCTGGATGGAACAACAAGTGGCTGCCTTCTTGCAGGACAAGGGGATTGTGTTTAACTGTGACAACATCAAGGCATGCTACCCTCTGACTAAAAGGAAACCCAGAGACATACCTGCCATCATAATGAGATTTGTGAGCAGGAAACACAAGATCTCACTCCTGAAACAAGGCAGAAATCTCAGAGGAACAAATGTGTTTATCGACGAATGTCTCACAAAACAATGCAGAGATAGCCAGGAAAGCACGATACCTGAAGAAACAGGGGAAAATCCAAAGTACATGGACAAACAGCTGTAAAGTATTCATTAAGCTGAATGGTTCACCTGAGCAGGCCAAAGTACTTGTCATCAGAAACATGGCGGAGCTGGATAAAATCTATCTTTTGATGTTGAATCAAAAGATAGACTATTAGTCCAGGAGCCAAAGGGTGATTTTTGGCTGAACGTGGTTTCGTCGGTTAAAGTTTTTTTCTCAACTGATTCTTGCTGCTGGGGGTCCCCTCTTAAGGATTCAAGAGGGTGCCCAGTGAAATGCCTGGAGCATTTTTTGTTATTAACCCCTTCCTGTCCAGAACAACATAATCTATAAACTGTGATATTGTACATGCACAGAAATCAAATCAAATGCATTAGATCTGCTTTCTACAAAGTCTAATAGTGGAACTGGTCATGTTTCCTTTTGGATGAATGCATATCAACGTTTTGAGGCCAACCATCTTTTAGTCATTAACCCTTTAATTCCCAAAACAAAAACAAAAACAAAAAAAAATACACAAAATAGGGCTTTATGGCATTTTATGCAAAAATATTGTTTTAGCGCATCAAATTTGATTTCTAGTGTTTATCAATGAACGTGGATGTGTAAAATTTAGTTTTCTGATCTATATTAATATTAAAAAATGCATACATATGAAATCTAATGCACTGTACACATCCATTTACATGGATACAAACTGTCTAAAGCAAATTTTATGCATTTAGATCAGGTATTTTGCATGAAATACCATTGAAGTCTATTTTGGGTGTATTTTTAGTGTTTTGGGCATTAAGGGGTCAATAACAAAAAATGCTCAAGGGATTTCACTGGGCACCCTCTTGAATCCTTAAGAGGGGACCCCCAGCAGCAAGAATCCGTTGAGAAAAAAACTTTAACCGACGAAACCACGTTCACCCCCATGGCTCCCGGACTATATCAATTATCCATTTCAGTAGTAGAAGCCTCTATGCCAACTTCAATAACAAATATAATTAACAAATATTTACAGACATTTCACAGACATTTAGCACAATTGCAATATCTGAAACCTGAATCAAAATAATATCAAAGGAATATGGGGAATACTAAACAGTATCATAAGAAACAGTTTTAAAATAATTGACTATCCAGAGTATTTCATTGACAAAGAAAATGTAACTTATAATAGGAATGACATGGCTGATACCTTTAATCCATTCTTTGTGAATGTAGGGCCTAACCTTGCAGAAAAAATCTCTGATCCTGGGGCAGTTGGAAAAAAATATGAATACTTTGATAGAGAGAAATCCCAACTCAGTGTTTCTCAAAGCGGTGGATGAACAAGAAATACTAAACATTGTTAAAAACTGTGAAAGCAAAAAGTCAACTGATTGTAATGACATGGACATGACAGTAGTGAAAAAGGTCATTGAGAGGATTTCAAAACCATTGACATACATCTGTAATTTATCATTTCAAAATGGTACATTTCCAAACAAAATAAAAATTGCCAAAGTCATTCCGCTGCACAAAACTGGGAACAAACATCACTTCACCAACTACAGACCTATCTCCTTATTACCAGAATTTTCCAAAATATTAGAAAAACTCTTCAACAATAGACTGGATACATTCATAGTAAAACATAAATTACTCTCCGACAGTCAATATGGTTTCAGATCAAATAGGTCAACATTATTGATAAATAATAGAAGCAACTGAGGAAATCACAGGTGTTATTGAGCAAAAGAAATATGCTGTTGGAATATTTATTAATATTAAGAAAGCCTTTGATACAATAAACCATGACATATAATTAAGAAAACTGGAAAGACTCGGTATCAGAGGTTAGTATTAGATTGGATTAAAAGTTATTTACAGAGGAGAAAACAGTTTGTAAAGCTCTGTGATGTTTGTTCTCAATGTTTGGACATTGTTTGTGGTGTCCCCCAGGGGTCAGTGTTGTCTTTCTTTATTATGTATATTAATGATATTTGTAGAATGTCACAGGTATTGAAGTTGGTGTTGTTTGCTGATGACACAAATGTTTTGTATTCTGGGGATGATTTAAAAAAAGCTACTGGAGGAAGTTACCATAGAAATGAGTAGAATGAAAATATGGGTGGACAGAAATAAATTGTCATTAAACTTTAATAAAACAAAAATGTTATTTGGAAATTACAGAATAAACATGCAGGTACAAATACAGGTAGATGGGGTGATGATAGAAAGGGTTAATGAAAACAAATTCCTTGGGGTTATAATAGATGAGAAAGTAAGCTGGAAACCACACATCAAACATATACAGACCAAGCTTTCAAGAAGCATTTCAGTTTTAAGCAAAGCAAAACAGGTTCTGGAGCATAAATCACTCCCTATCCTATACTGTTCCATTGTCTTACCATACTTAAATTACTGTGCAGAGATTTGGGGCAATAACTATATGAATTCAATCAACTCACTGATATTCTTCAAAAAAGGACAATGGACAAAGGACGGGTCATTCATATGTCAGTTATCTGGATCATACTCACCCACTCTTCTTACAGTCAAAATTATTAAAACTTAAAGACATCGTGAAATTCCAAACTGCACAAATTATGCATAAAGCTAAAAATAACCTTCTACCACAGAATATACAGAATTTGTTTGAGGATCGTGAGGGGGGTTATCAATTAAGAGGGAAGTATAACTTCAAAATTAATAAAATCCACACAAACAGAAAACAATTTTGCATTTCATTTTGTGGTGTGAGACTCTGGAATGGTATGGGTGAGGAGTTAAAACAATGTCCAAACATAAAACAGTTTAAAAAAATATATAAAGAATATGTTTTCACAGGATATAGGAATGTACATTCATAGTAACTATTATCATTATCATCATTGTTTTGTTGTTGTTGTTTTGTTATTTTCACTGTGGTGATTATTTTTATTGCTATTATTACTATGATGATTAATATAAATATATAATATTATGATATACTGTATATTTAAACCATTAGTGTAGGAGAAGGGGTGGGACGAGATAAGTCTTGACTCCTTCCCACTCCTTTTTGAACTTGAAAAACATTTTTGTAATTTTTTGTTGTATTCTTTACTTTTTTATTATTTTTTTAAATATATGTTCAAAATAAACTTCAATCAATAAAAAAAAAAAAGTTCACAAGGTCACTTTAATTGCCTTTGGGCCTAGAAACCACGTAGAGTCAATCGTACCGAACGTTCTGACCAAACTATTGGGTTACTCTCAGAAAAATAACCCAAAAATATTCACTCATTCAAAAAACCCTTAAATTGGGTTACAATAGAATCCATATGACCCAAGAAATGGGTATGGATCTGGAAAATAACCCAGAAATTTAACTCAACACGTATAACCCAGGAATTGGGTAGAAGAAATAACCCAAGAGTTTTTAGAGTGCAGTTTATTGTCTGCATTTTGCTTGATGGTGTCCATTTTCAGATTACCACAACACAGAGATTAATCAGGAAGTGGCACCCTAACAAGTGCCGTTATGCATAATTACATAATTGGAGCGCCAGCCTGACAGGTTATGGTTGCTTAGCAGCATCCCTTATCAAAAGCATGCTCACTTTACTCACACTCCAAAAACACAGACATTTCTTCATGGCCTTCGTCATGGCATGGCATTCTAGCATGGCTATGGCCTACCTCATAAACATGAGTTTGTACCATTGAAAGCCATACCGGCTCAGACGGTACAGGTTGTGAAAGCAAAGCTCCCAAAAAAAACCCCAAATGCATATATTAATTTAACCCAAGATCATGAGTCAAATTAACTCGCAGACTGGGTAAACTTGACACCTTAAAAGAGTTACTGAGTCAACCCAAAATTTGGGTTAACTTGAATAACCCAACATTCTGGGTCAAAATAACCCAATAAGTAGTTGGTCCCTTTTCAACCCTGGTGCTGGGTTAAAAACAACCAACAACAAACAACAGGGGTTTTTAGAGTGCATAGTTACAATGACTGTCGAGTAACATAAATAAGATTCATACTATATTTCATCTATTAGTGAAAAGTCAGAGCCACACAACCAATTATGAGACAAAATATTTGCAAAATGAACAATTTGTAAATTTAAAACTATTACAAGATTGCATGGCTGAAATGCATGGCTGGGAATAATAGGGCTTGATATGATTTAATTTATAATTATATATAGTATATTCATCTATCTATCTATTATCTATTATCTATTTATTTCTTCTTTAATTTCCTAGAAACCTTGGATATGTTTATACAACGGTTATGTTTTAAAATGTGAACGGTTATGGCTGTAAAGATAATAATAAAGTCATAATAAGAAGAAGAATAGGGCTCAAAAAGGCACTTGATGTTGCAATGCATTGTGTGCTTCTGTCACCATTTTACAGGTAGTGTTTGTTTACATTGCTGAGTAGGATACAGCGCTGGATTAGTTTCACAGCTTGTAAACCTTCAAGTGTTTTAGTGTTTTTTTTTTTCAAGTGCTGGTATAAGTTGGTTGTGTTTCCGCTGGATGTTGCAACTTAAGTGCAGCAGTTGCAGAGTACCTGTTTCTGGTGCACATCTGCAGCCCTGAACCCAAAATACTCCCAAATGACCACCGGCATTCTTGGGGATTAAATCCCCTACTTCCACTCCTAATTCTGTTGAAGCCATTTGAAAAACAGGTTAACATTTCAAAACATGGGGAGCAAGCAAGTACTGATTTATTAACGTGACCTGTCCATGAGTAGCATATGCCACTTCTTATTGGT